CCCCCCCCCCCTCCCCCCGGTCTGTTTCCCCGACAAAAAAATAGGATTTAAAAAAAGGTTAAAAACTTTTATTAATAAAATAATACCGCAGCAGAGCTAGCCTGTGCGGCCTGCAAAACGAGTGCTCATGACTTCATAACTAATTCAGAGCAATCACCAGACTGGGCGGAGGTGGGTAAAAGGGGACCGGAGAGGGGGCGGTCTGGTCGGGGGAATCTTAGGGGATGGCGACGGAGGCCCTACGAGCAACCGCCTTGTTACTTTGAGCGTGGTCCTCCTCCGCCCCTTTCCGTTCTTTCACTACCTCGTTCTCTCTCCCTCTCTAATTTTCTCTCCCTAACCCTCCCCCCTCCACTGCTCTCTCTCTTTCTCATCTACGCCCTTTCGGGAGGTTCGAGTTCGCGGAGTTGACTTATTAGCAGTGCGGTTGGATTTTCAAGCTGCGCGGTGGCAGGCCTTTCCGTCCGGTATGCGCGGCCGTCCAACTTTATTCAACAGCGGGGGCGCTGGAGCGCAGCCGGACCGCGCGAGAAGCTATGGGCTGGCGAAAGCTGGGGGCCATGTGAGCTCCATGCAGGTTGCAGGGTAGCATTTCACACGCGTGAAGGTGATCGGAGAGCTTCATTGGCGTGATATCGGGATACGCAAATAACCCGTAAACCGCCCGTAGCGACTTCGCAACCACTATGGGTAAACACACGTGTGTGTCGACACAACAGACCACGCTAGGGTTAAAATACAAGTGCAAACCCCCTATCCCACTGTGGAAAATATTTATAGTCTTCTCGGAGAAAGAATCCCTGACTAAATGCTGCATACTTGCGATTCTTACATGTAAATTTACTAGATTCTATTAACAGTTAACTGTTCGTATGCGAATTCGCATAGACTTGGGAAATCGAATGACGATCAAAATTGGTACGTGGTAAATTTATCATGGCATTCGACAATTTACAGGTGATTTTGTAAGTCATCAAAAGGCTAATATCCCCTAAAAAACAACATGAAATCAGTGAAAAAGCAACACCACATTACTTACCCGCGGCAGTTGAAGACGCCGAGGAAGGCCTGCCGGAACTTGCGGTTCATGAAGCAGTACGTGATGGGGTTGCAGCACGACGATACGTAGGCCATGAGCTGCACGAGGGACACGCCAGTCGAGCCCACCCACGCGTACACCTCCTCCGGGTTGAACAGGTACCACGTGTTGAGCACGTGCAGAGGCGCCCAGCACACGAAGAACTCGGCCACCACCACGAACAGCATGCGGATGACCTGGGCGCAGACAAGAAAAGAAATCGGCGTTAGTAATAGTTCATTCATAAATTAATTATTTCTTTTACGCCTGCGGGTACTTTAATCACCGGTACATTAATTTAAAATCAGGACTCTACTTCCGTTTCTGTCAGTTCCATACGGCAATGTACGGGAGTTCAGCGCCTGCGAGACTCCGGGTAGGCCAGCCCGCAGTACACGCATGCACTGCAGGCAAAATGTTGCCCACCTATCAGGCGCTATGGGAGCTTGACTGACTATTAACCGCGCATCCGCAGAAAATGCAGTTTTCGTAACGACAAATGAATTGACGTGGTCCCTCTGAGAGGCAGTGCCAACCCGCAACCCTAATAAAAGCACTAAAGTTCAGATGACGTTGCAATTTTATTATTACTCGCGTAATTGGGGCCGGTTCTGCGAACTAATTATACCATCAGTGAACAAGCATTCACAAAAAGAACTGCAAACTAAAAGCTTCTGCATTTTTATTCATAGCTTACTGAGTACTGTGTACGTGCTCTGCGCTGCTTACGCATTTTTAATACGTCAGTTTGCACAAATTTGTACACAGAACTCAAAGCTATGAACAAAAATGTTTATAAGCTTTTAGTGTGTGGTGGATAAGTTCTTTCTTCAATGTGTATATCTAATCCACCAATAAAAGGAATACTCAAATAATGGCCCCATCTAGACCCAGCCAAAGAAAACGAATTAAAATCGTTTCTTTCTCTGTAAGGGTTTGGCTTTTGGGGGTGGGGTAGTCCCTGGGCGTCGAACTTGAGAGACGAGGAAAAAGCGTTCTCTCTGGCTGTTTCAAGGGCCAAGGTCAAGGCAAGTGTGGCGGGGCTAACGTTGGGGAG